CAATCAGAAGGATCCTTCTGAACTAGATTTCTGATCGTGGGTCACCCTGCCTCAGTCCCTCAGTGGCTCCCCTGTGCCCTTGGGATGAAGTCCAGACTCGCTAGCGTGGCTTGCAAAGCTCCTCATGTCTAGCCCATGTCTGCCTCTCCCTTCCCACTCCCTCTTCTCTCAGCCCTCTACCTTTCCAGCCCTTGCAGATGCTCCACTTTCTCTCCCCTCCATGCCACATTCTGCCTGTTCCACTTCTCCTCCCTCTTCGCCCCTCCTTTAGTTCAGCCCCAGGGCCCACTTTCTTAGGGGACCTTCCCCAACTGCTCCTTTCCTTCACCAATCCCCGGGTTAGGTCCCTCTGATATATGTTTCCATGCTTCCCCCTTTAATCCTTGTAAATAACTCACCACGTTTGTATGCATTTGTGTTTATCTGTTGTCCTCACATGTCTACAAACTCCATGTCTGTGTGTTCACCATGGCACAGTGCCTGGAGCACGGCACATGCCACTGAAAAGTGAATAAAGCCTGAGCCCCTTATTTGGAGCTATACTTTTTGAAATGTGTAAATAATCATCCCCCACATAATTTCAGTGACTGACGCCACCTCACCAGGATGAAGGGGCCGTGGGGGAGCATCTCAGGGCAGTATGCTGGTGGTGGCATGAGCCCAAGCTGGTCCTCAGGTGTCTCACTGGTTCTCTATTCCTGCACCTCTGCTGGTGCAGAGGCCCTCATGTGCATTCACTCAGCTGTCAACAGGACGAGCCTTGGGGACACTGTGGGACCTTTCAGTCCTTACTCCATACAGGCCCCGATTGTGTACAGACCTAACCCTCCCCGATGGCCTGCACTAAACGTGCAGCCTCTAGTGGGTCCCCCCAAACAGCAAATCTCCAAGCCAGGCCAACCCCTGGGCCCTGACTAAATCCCTACAGTGGAATTGGTACCCCAAGGCAGGAGGTAGCAAGGTGGCAAGGATGTCTTTACCCTGGAGTTTATCCCCAAGGGCTGGCTCCAGAATGGACTTGGGGATCCTTCTGGTGGCCTTCTGCTTGGAGATCTTGGCTTCAGCTGTGGCAGCCAAGTCTCTCTGTCGAGCAGCTTCCTTTAGTTGCTCCTCCTTCTCCAGGAAGCTGAAGGGCTTCAAAGAAGAGAGGAGCAGTTCCTTCCTCTTCTGAATCCCTGCCCGCCTTCGGGCCTCGCTGCGCTCCATGATCTCTTGGTAGAGGGGCAGGTAGACATGTGCAGGCACAGGCTGTGCCCGGAACTGCCTGTGGCACTCAGCCTCTTCCTCACCCTGCCTCCGGGCCCGCTGCCTCTCCTGCTCAAAGGAGGCAGGTGAGCCCAGCCACTCGGCCTTCTTCCGGGCCTCGCGCAGTGTCATGCGAAATGGCCGAGGGACAGTAATGGATGATGCCCAGGAGCTGACACTTCTGTGCTGGGAGGAAGGCCGGGAGCCTGAGGGTGGCTGGGTCGGAGCCCTGGGAATGTTGGAGGGAAGGTTGCTCAGGGAGCTGCAGCGCCTTGTGGAGCCACACCTGGAAGAAAGCAGATCCACGTGTGGAGGACAGGGCAGTCAGGAGGCCCTGCTCCCTCCAGACCTCCTCCCCAGTCCTCCCTTCCCACTGGTCACAGCTGGCTGCTTGGCCTAACACCACAGCCCCACAGGCCTCTATGTCCATGACCTTCCCACAGACAATCCTGGCAGCCCTAAAGGAAAGTCTCTTCTCAGAATTGATCCCAAAACTGCCACTTTGCACTCTAATATTTCATATGAGAGAAAGAACAATGAGCAGAGTGGAGCTTGAGAGTCAGACAGACCTGGGTTTAAATCTTGCTCCAAACTTTGAGCAAGGTTCTGTTAAAACCTCAATTTCCTCCTACATAGAATGACAAAAATTAATGTCTACTAACCAGGTTATTGGAGGAGAAAGTAAATATTAAATGAGATAAGGTAATGAGATAATGTATACTTTATCTCATTAAATATTTACTTTCTAAGACTTGACCAAGATAAAGGTACTTTGTTGTCATTCTGAGGGAAAGTGTATTTAGGAAAGGCTTCCCTGTATTTTTTTTTATTTTTCAATATTTATTTATTTATTTTGAGATGGAGTCTTGCACTGTTGCCCAAGCTAGGCGTGATCTTGGCTCACTGCAACCTCCACTTCCCAGGTTCAAGCAATTCTCTGCCTCTGCCTCCCGAGCAGCTGCAATTACGTGCACCCGCCACCACGCCCGGCTAATTTTTTTATATTTTTAGTAGAGACGGGGTTTCACCATTTTGGCTAGGCTGGTCTTGAACTCCTGAACTCATGATCCACCCACCTCAGCTTCCCAAAGTGCTGGAATTACAGGCGTAAACCATGATGCCCGGCCCATTTTTTATTTTATTTTTATTTGTTGAGTCAGAGTCTTGCTCTGTCGCCCAGGCTGGAGTGCAGTGGCATGATCTCAGCTCACTGCAACCTCCATCTCCTGGGCTCAAGGGATTCTCGTGCATCAGTCTCCTGAGTAGCTGGGATTACAGGCACACACCACGATGAGTGGCTAATTTTTGTATTTTTAGTAGAGACGGGGTTTCACCATGTTGACCAGGCTGGCCTCGAATTCCTGACCTCAAGTGGTCTGCCTGCCTCAGCCTCCCAAAACGCTGGGAGTGCAGGTGTGAGCCACTGCGCCTGAGGAAAGGCTTCCCTTTAATTAATTCCAGGGCATCACTGGACTAAGTGTTGCCCAAAGTGATTTAGGATTCCTGGGGAGGAATCGGAACACCTGTTTGGAATCAAAAGCTGATTCTGAGCTACAGCCTCAGTAAATGGCAACTTGCAGAAGTGCTCTTTGCTTTACAGAGGAAGATGAAGCCCAGAGACACGATGTGACCTGTGTGGAGGTGTGGAGTGAGGCAGCCGTGGAGCTGCAGTGCCTTACCTCAGAGCCTGGGGGCACTGGACCTGTACCTTCCCCCTGCCCTTGTCTCGGAAGAAACTCTCCAGGTCCTCCTCATCTTCAGAGAGGCTTTCATCACTCTCCGGGTCAGACTGAAAGAGAGACTCCAACAGACACGGTCTGCCTCTCTGCTTCAGTACATGTAAGGTCTGGTAAAAGCTCCCAGTTGAGTCAGAAGTAGAATCTATCTCCTCCTCTGGGCCGAGGAACTCGTCAAGTTTGCTGGCCCTGGGCAAAACCAGCCCATCCCCAGACAGCTCCTCTCCTGCCTCTGTGTCTGGGGAGGATTTGGGGGAAAATACCTACAATAGAATAGAAATAGGCTGTGAGTGAAACAATAATTTCAAAGGTATTCAAATCATAACTTAATTTCACTTTGAACAAGCCTCTGTATATTAGGGACTGGGGAGAATTTGGGGTCTGCCAGGTGCGCTGGCTCATCCCTGTAATCCCAATACTTGGGGAGGAATTTTTAAAAATAAGATGTGTTTTTTGCTCTAAAGACATTTCACAACTTGGTCTATGAAGTGCGCTTCACTGAAGGGATGGAGAGGGAAGTGAAGAGCTGAAGTTGGTTCCCTACGCCATATAGTGCAGTAAGCTTTTACAGAGTACCTCACCTGTACCATGCACTCTGACCCCTGCACTCCAGGAATCCTGCCTATGATGATGGCCGCACTCTGCCTTACTTGGGTTGTACCTACTTCTTGCTCATCTTCCTTCTCCCCCTTCCCTTGTCTCTACTCCTCTGCTTTCCTCATGTTCTAGCTAATTTGCACTCTGTCAAGGAATGGATGATGGCCGGGAGCAGTGGCTCACGCCTGTAATCCCGGTGTTTTGGGAGGCTGAGGGAGGTGGATCACCTGAGGTCAGGAGTTCAAGACCAACATGGTAAAACCCCATTTCTACAAAAATACAAAAATTAGCTGGGTGTGGTGGTGGGTGCCTGTAACCTCAGCTACTGGGGAGGCTGAGGCAGGAGAATCGCTTGAACCTGGGAGGCTGAGGT